CATCGCCACAACCTTCGCCGCCTCCACCACTGCCACTGCCGCCACTACCACTACCACCCCAGCACCACCACTGCCACCACCACCATCACCACCATCGCCACCACCATCGCCACCGCCGCCACCACCGCCACCCAGCAACACCACTGCCACCACCACCACCACCACAACTGTCGCCGTCCCCACCACCACAGCCACAACCGTCACTGTCGCCACCACCACTACCACAACCGTCACTGTCGCCACCCTCACCACTGCCACCCCCACCACTGCCACCACCACCACCACTACCATCCTAGCACCACTACCACCCCAACACCACCACCATCGCCACCACCGCCGCCGCCGCCGCCGCTGCCACTACCGCCACAAGAACCGCCACCCAGCAGCAGCACCACCACCGCCACAACTGTCGCCGCCCCCACCATCACCACCACCGCTGCCACAACCACCACCACTGCCACAACCGTCACCGTCGCCACCACCACCGCCACCGCCACCACTGCCACCGCCACCACCACTACCACCCCAGCACCACCATCACCACCACCACCGCCGCCGCCACCACCATCGCCACCATCACATATTTTTATAAGGGTATTTATGTCTTTTAAAACATATTTCATTTCTATTCCTTAAATCAACCAAACAATGTAATATAATTCCTAAAGTCTATTCCTTCAGTGAACCAAACAATAGAATACAATTCCTATTCTATTCCTTGCCTATTCCATTCCTTATGGAATAACATTCTTATTACCTCAAAATTCATTCCGTGAACCAAACATGTTGTTAAAGATAATCTTTGTTATTCTTATTTCGTTAATCTTATTAGATTAATTAATTCTGCTCGAACCCAATAGAGTAGCTTAAGTGGCAAATGAGATTTTTTTATGACAGAGAATTTGAGATAACTCGGGTTCGATCCCCATAAGTGACGATTTTTTTGGGCCACCCGGACCAGAGTGTAATTTATACCAAAAAAATTAATTCTGCCGCGGGTCTATATCAATATGTTTGGTCAAATAATACTTTTATGCCACGTCCTAATTAAGTAAAATAATTAGCTGCTTTTGCGGGGCTTGTACCAATTAAAAAAGGACAGACACAAAAGGTAAAAAGAACAAGCTAATCTGTCCCTTCAGATGTAATTAATACGGAGTAACAAAATCTTCATCCATCAGCTCCCCAGACAACTCACCAAGTTTAGTATTAAATTTTAGTAATATTTTCATATTTAATTTTTGACAAATAATGTCAAAATATATATATATATATATATATATATATATATATATATATATATATATATATATATATAGGGTTGAGTTCAAATGAGGACAACAATATATAGAGGACTGTGAGGACAAATAATGGGCACACAACAAATTAATATCAGGCACACAACTTAATACATAATGGCACACAAGAATAAATGTAAACATCATGTTTCGAACCCAGGCTCTATAAATTAACAAATCTAGCACGCGACATACAAACTGTGGCACACGACTACATTCGGTCATGCACACAACATACCGACTAATGGCACACACTACATCTGTCCTCACAGTCCTCTATAATATACTTGTCCTCATTTGAATACACATCTATATATATATATATATATATATATATATATATATATATATATATATATATATATATATATATAGATTTTGAATCCGGTGCACACCCCCTAGTCAGTCGAGCCCGTGAGCACATTCTTTGATCGTTGATTTTAATTTTTTGACGATTCAGATTGATTACCACTTGGATCCTATGTTATACTAATTTTAAATGAAGCATGGGTCTTTTTGTCATTAAGCACTATATTTATTACTTTCCATTTAATTTATTTCCATGTTTATAAAGATTTGTATTGTTATTTCAGCTCTCCTTAATCAATATCTCTCTCTCTCTCTCTCTCTCTCTCTCTCTCTCTCTCTCTCTCTCTCTCTCTCTCTTAGTGATTTTCTTTGAAATTTTACGGCGGTGTGTGCGTGGGTGTGGAATGGTGTGTGCGTTTTACTGTAACAGGGCTCGCACACCATGGCGTGCTCATTTTTTTTTTTTCATAAAATTATGCATTTTGGTATGTGCGTTTCGTGATACAAGCATGCACATTTTGGTTTGTGTTTTATATTACTAGTTTCGGCCGTGTGCTAAACGTATCCAAAAGAAAACAAAAATATACGAATCTGATTTGAGTATCGGCTTTTGAATTTTGAGTAAATAATCAGTGCGTAGTAGATATAGTATTGGGTTTGTTGTGCTTTAAAAAAAAATTGTAGGGAATTTTACGATGGTGTGTGCGCGGTTGTTGAATAGCGTGTGCGATTTTTCTGTAACAGGAGGTGTACACCATGACAAACTATAAAACGCACACACCATTCCACACCCATGCACACGCCGCCGTAAAATTTCCCAAAATTTAAAATTTCAGATGTACAAAATATAATTAATTATTACCATTTATAGGGTCACTAATAATTTAAAATATCAATTTCCATTCATAATATCCCTAATATAATGCTTAAGATTCAAATTGAATTATATCCATAATTAAACATATATCTACAATTACTATTTAATCCTTTTGATTTAAATATATCCTTAATTACTTTCACAATCTCTTATAATCTCAACCATTGATGGGAAATAAATCTATGGATATCATGAGATCTCATGAACTCATCTAGCATAGGGGTTGCACCGGATTCGAAGCCTATATATATATATATATCAGGGTTGTAAAAATCCCGCTTAGGCACCGAGTAATCGGCGCCTAGGCGCTAGGCGCCCATAGGCCGTGGCGATTTCCGCCCTAGGCTCCCGCCTAGGCGCCCGCCTAGCGCCTAATCAGCCGCCTAGCGCCTAACTCGTCCGATTACGCCGAGTTAACTCGTCAATTTCTGTCGAGTTAGTCGAGTTAACCCGACCGACTCGACCTTGCTAATTTTGTCCATTTATATGACATATACATATAATATGACATATATACACTCGTAGACTAGTTTGATACTTTCAATCTTTGGATGATTGAAGTATTTGGGTATTTCATTTGAGTTTTTTTTTTTTTTAATATTCTTTTGATGTTATGACTTATGAATTGTCATTATATCATTTATTTGAATGTGTTATTTGATTGAATGTTGAAAACAGCCTCATTAAAATTGTCAAATTGCAAGTTTGCTACTGTTTTCTTCGCGACCGCCTAGCACCGCCTAGATTCCGCCTAGGCGCCGACTAGGCCGCTTAGGCGCTAGGCGCTGCCCGGGCGCCCGACTAGCGCCCAGCGCCTACTGCAACCATGATATATATATATATATATATATATATATATATATATATATATATATATATATATATATTGACATTCATGATTTTACTAAATTTCATCATAGTTATATAATGTCTATGTTAACTTCAAGAACGAATCTATAAATTTTAAATGCCATCTATATGTCAAGAGAAAACAACCAACCCCATACCTAATTTGGTATATGAGTCCAAATAAAAATATGAAAAAATTATTTGTTAATAATTAAATTTGAAAAAAAAAATTACCAAAGTAAAATATTAAACTTGATAATTCAATATTAAAATTTGTTTATGCCTATAATACTCTCTCAATTTCTTACTTTCAAAAATAGATATTGACCTAGTATCATATTTACAATTCACTCACTATTCTCTCTACATCTCTGCACTAGTAATTTACTCCTAAAATATAATAATAATAATAATAATAATAATAATAATAAACTTTATTTAAAAAATAAAAAAAAACATTACAAATTGAAGGCTGAATTTTGCAGGCTTGTAATCCTCTTAACACTTTATTTTTAAAAAATTTCACTATATTGTCTCTTTAGAGACATTCGATAAAATTAAAACGATATATATATATATATATATATATATATATATATATATATATATATAACTAGCATGATTCATATGTAAAAGTGACACGCACAAATTAAAAAAAAAAAAAAAAACAAAACAAAAAACAAAAAAAAAAAAGAGTTGTGCAATAAAGATATTTGCAAGTTAAAATCACTCCGAGTTACTCATGATGATTCCTACCGCCCTCTTCATTGTACGGAGCCTTGTCCTTTGCTCATTTGTGACCCCTCAAACTCCACAGAGACGCGGAGGAGCGCATTCACCTTTTTCCTACCTCCAAATATTTTTCTGTCCCTTTTTTTTTCCTTCACATAATTTAATTACCGAATGTTAATAATAAACACATCTAATTACATGTTAAATATTCTTTTAACATATTAAAATATTTTGATAAATTTGCCGAGAAAATTTTCACTTTTGATCCTGACTATTACACATGAATTCACATTTGATACTTGATTATTAAAATTTTTTAATTAGGTCTATAATTATGTAACTTATATCACATTTGGTCATGCCGTCCTTGGAATGAGCACTTCTAGAAGAGCACTGCATTTGCTTCTTCCGGAAGGAGCACTTGGGGCAATAATTGGCTAGGATATAGGACGGTATGACCAAATGTGATACAAACTATATAGTCATGCACCTAATTAGAAAATTTTAATAGTCAATGATCAAATGTGATTTATGTATAATAGTCAGTGGACCCTCTTAAATTTAGTATGAAATTGAATTTAAAGTTAATTATCGAAATAGTCTCTTGACTATAGCAAAATTACTAATTTGGTCATTGACTATTTTTTTGCCTAATTATTTAAAAATCTTAACCAATTTTGTCATTCGTTTGTTTAGCCGTCATGTCCATTTACTCGGTACCAAATTAATAATTTTGTTATAATTAAGCGACAATTTCAATAATTAACTCTTCGATTTAATAAGAGATAAAATGATGTATATGATGACCGAAATGGTCTCTTGACTATAACAAATTATCAATTATTTTCTAAATTTTGAATAATTATTTTTTATTCTTGTCATCTGCCGACCAAGACCGCTAATCTCTCTCTTATCTATCTATATATATACGCACCATCCATCAATGTATTATTCCATCTTCAATTCCACCATGTTTGGACTCTTCTAAGTTCTAAAAGCTTTCAACCAATTCAGAATAAGAAAGCTAGCTGGGAAGCTAAGGCACCACACCACATTCCTATTCCAAGAATCTACATAAGACCATTCATACAATTGTTGTTATAAATACTGAGAGATCCGAGAGTGTCCGCCATTGTTGTCAAAGCTTTCTTCTTCTATTTCTTCTGATCTGTGTGAATTAATATGAGAAGAGCTAGAGGTTTCAGGATTGGGCGGAAGCAGGTCGGGGTTTTCACGTGGGTCATTCACCGGAGGGCGAAGCCGGGGGGCTCCTACCGGCTGCTGGAACCGCGCAGCTCCGCCGTGGACGGAGGAGCGCTTTCTAAGCTGCGGCGGAGCTTGGGGGGTTTGTTGAAACGGCGTAGTCCGGGTTATGTTCGGGTCGGGCAAGAAGCGGCGGAGGCGAAGAGAGGCGTGGGTGTACCGAAGGGGCACCTGGCGGTGTACGTCGGGGAGAAGGAGGACGGCGCGGCGGCCGAGGCGGCGGCGCGTAGAGTGGTGGTGCCCGTCATCTACTTTAACCACCCGCTGTTCGCGGACTTGTTGCGGGAGGCGGAGACGGTGTACGGGTTCAATCATCCCGGCGGGATCCAGATTCCTTGCCGGATATCCGAGTTTGAGAATGTGCAGTCCAGAATCGCCGCCACGGGCGGTGGTGACGGCTGCAATTTCCGGCGGCGGAGCTGGAGACACAGAATCAAATGGTGAAGTGGATCGACGACGGTCTTCATAATTTCGTAGGATTATTCTAGGATTCGTTTGGTAGTAAGAAGTTACTGCCTCTCCGGTCGGTTTTCTCTTGTTTATTTTCTTCATGCGAGTGGAAGATTTTCTTGTACAAAACTTTACCAGCCAAACCATTTGAATAAAAGAAAAAATCTCTCCCAGAGATATTTTATTAAACATTTTCGCCCCCAAAAATGTAAACCTCCACTACCAAAATTTGAATGGTAATGGATCAGAAGACGCCATCACACTACATGATAATTAATTCTTACAGATCAATTAATTATATAAAAATTTCAAAGATATTGTGTGTAACGATATTGTACTGTATATTATATATTTAATAAATTGTATTTTTTATGATTCGAGTTTAAGCTTAATTTGAATTTTTTTAATTGGAGGCGTGCAAACAAGCCAAAAATACCCAACTATAACTTGAAAGTTATTTTCTTTTTCTTTTTTTTTTTCTTTTTTACATGTATTTTATTAACTTTTGTGTCATTTCTACACATAATTCTTAACTATAATTTTTTTTTCCAGAGAAAATTTCAGTTTTGGCTATATGACTATAGGGACTTTGTTAATTTCAGAACTTTGACTTTCAAAAGTGTCAATTTTGTACTTTCACTATGCAATTTTTATCAATTTTGGTCACTCCGGTCAAATTGCCGGCCAAATTTCGCAGGAAAATTTTAACAGTTAAAATAATAAGAGTATTTTAGTCATTTCACATCTCTTCCTTCTTCTCAAGCGAATTCTTTTTTTTTTTTCGGGCGAATTTTGGTCACTCCAATTGCACGCGATTCGATCGCGCAGAATATTAGCTTGGCGTTGATGAGTTTATAAAATGTGTATTGAATGAATGAACCAGTAGAGAGTTACATAGGTTTAAATACACATGGAAGTAACACAAACTTAGGAAACAACTTATGACTATAACTGATTCTGCACAGACTTCTAACTACTCCATACACCCCTTCAAGCTGACGGTGGACAGGGGACAACGCTAAGCTTGACACGGAGATCAGTGAACCGGGATGCAGATAGTGCCTTGGTAAAAATGTCTGCTATATGATCATTAGTTGAAACAAAATTAACCTTCAGGGTACCCGTGGAGACCTTATCACGCACAAAGTGGTAGTCGACGTCCACGTGCTTCGTTCTGGCGTGAAAAATGGGATTCGCACAGAGGTACATGGCGCCCAAATTGTCACACCACAGGACGGGAATGGTAGGTTGTTGAAGGCCAAGTTCCCGAAGCAGAGACTGAATCCAAACTATCTCCGTTGCGACGTCAGCTAAGGCCTTGTACTCAGCTTCTGTGGACGAGCGCGCAACCGTGCGCTGGTTCCGTGATACCCAAGAGACCAAACTCGAGCCAAGGAAGACTGCAAACCCACCCTTGGACTTCCAATCAATAGAGCAGCCGGCCCAGTCTGAATCTGAAAAGGCATGCGTGGTCGGAGATTGGGATGTAGATAACCGTAGCCCGAGATCAAGCATGCCCTTGACGTAGCTCAACACCTGTTTAAGAGATGACCAGTGTTCCACCATCGGACTGTGCATAAATTGACACAAGCGATTCTCTGCAAAACTTAAATCTGGGCGCGTTAGTAACAAATACATCAATGAACCAACGAGTTGTCGATATGGTGTTGGGTCTTCTAACTGAGCCGGATCAGCAGGTGTCGTCGAGGGAGTCGTGGGCATAGGCGTGGAAAAAGGTTTGCATGATTCTATTCCTGCCTTACGAAGTAGTTCCACCATAAACGCCGTTGCGAAAGGACCACACTCTCAGACATGTAGACCGCTTCAATACCCAAGAAAAAGTGGGGTATTCCCAAATCACGAATTTTGAACACCAATTTTGAACACTGTGGCCATCTTACAAAGTAAACCATCAATTAATAAGGTAGAATCATCCCCAAGCAACAGTATATCATCAACATAAACGAGGATATAGGCACGAGACTGGATAGATTCATAAATAAAGAGAGACACATCCGTTTTGGAGGGACGGAAACCCGCGTGAACCAGGCACGTGGTGCATGTTTTAGGTCGTACAAGGATTGCTGAAGCTTACAAACGTGTTGCGGGTAATTTGGATTTGTGTACCTGGGCGGTTGCCGCATATAGATATACTCGGTAATGTGATCATTTAAAAATGCGTTGTGAACAACAAGTTGACGCATGGTCCAGTTGTTCAAGACAACATAGGTTAGAAGAAGCCTAACAGTGGCCGGTTTGACCACCGGGCTAAACGTCGCGAAGTAGTCTTGTCCCGGAACTTGGTTAAATCCCTTGGCTACTAAGCGGGCTTTGTAGCGTTCAACCGCGCCATCGGCGTTCCGCTTTATACCGAACACCCATTTACAACCTATAATGTTCATATGTGATTTGGGTGCAACTAAATGCCAGGTTTTATTAATCAACAATGCATTGAACTCAACATCCATTGCCGCCCTCCACTGCGGAAGCTTCACTGCCTGGGAGTAGCAAGACGGTTCATCATCATCAACAGACGCAACCATGGCCGTCGGGTTTCTCCGTTGAGTACATGTGGTACGCCGAAGTGCCATCTCATGCGTGAGTGTGGTTGGGCGGTTGCGTCGTGACCGGGTTGTGTTGGATGATGTCGTCGGGTGAAAAGATGAGGTTGAGGCAGACTCGGACTGAACTTGGGATTGCGGCGCCGGATTTGGCACATGCATGGTGGTGGTGTCACACGGTGGTGCGGTGATCATCAATGGTGGCGGAGCAATAGAGGTAGTCAGCTGAAGGACTAGTGCCGACCCCCAAGGCGAGGAGACCTCAGAATTATTAGCATCCTCGCCAGTGTGAGAACCTGCAGATTCAAAAAAAAAAAAAAAAGGAAAAACTTCTTCGTTAAACCTGACATGTCGTGCTATATAGACACGACCCGAAGCAGGATCCAACCATCTGAAGCCACTAAAGGATTCCGGGTAGCCCAAAATAACACAGGGCACCAAGCGGTAATCCATTTTGTGTCTGTTATATGGCCTTAGGCACGGGAAGCATTCACAGCCAAAAACTCGCACGATTTCATAATTAGGTGATTTTTGGAACAGACACGAGTAAGGACTCTTATTGTTTGTGACTGAGGACGACATGCGGTTAATTAAATAGACCGCAGACTAAAAGGCGTATGGGGCCAATATTTCTATGGAACACGGCTTTGGGCAAGAAGTGTTAGTCTGATTTCCACAACATGACGGTGGCTACGTTCAACGCGACCATTCTGCTCATGTGTGTGCGGATAAGATTGCCTGTGAGAAATACTTGAGGCGGTGAATACGTCATGGAGTTTGCGACATTCACCCCCGAGGTCAGATTGAATACATTTAATGGGGTGTGAAAAACATTTTCCCACAGAGGAATGGAAGTTATTAAATATTGAATATATATCAATTTTAAGACGCATAGGGTAGTACCATATGTAACGGGAAAAATCGTCAACAAATAGTACGAAATACTTAAAACTATCAACTGAGGAGACTGGTGACTGCCCCCAAATATCCGTATAAATTAACTGTAGGGGAGAGGAACTAGAGCATTCAACACGAGCCAGTGGGAAGCGCGCAGACTTAACCAAGTGGCACACTGTACAGAGTTTATTGGAGGAATTGAAAAACCAATAACGGGACACCTAGAAAGGACCTAACGCAAGACCTGGAAATGTGGATGACCAAGTCAGTTATGCCACACTTGAGGAGACGCCCTAGCAGACACAAGAGCAACCGGAGTGGATGTATTAAGCATGTACATTCCTCCATGACTGAGACCTTCAAGCAGGACCTGATTGGTGATACAGTCCTTCACAAAAAAATGAGAGGGGTGAAATTCGAAATAAACATTATTATCATTTGTGAATTTATGTACAGATAATAACGAGGCACATAATTTTGGAATATGTAATATGTTGTTTATGGACAGTGACCAAAACTTTAACTGTAATGAAACTGAACCAGTATGCTTAATTGACAGACCTGTTCCATCACCTACACGTAGATTTTCATTTCCAGTATAGGGTTTGAGTTCATTCAACCCGTCCATATGCGGGGTGGCATGTGCATTAGCACCTGTGTCAGGGAACCAAACATTTGAAAAGGGTGTTGTTTGGAGATCATCTTGAGGTTGTTAGAGCACCACATTTGCATGGGGATCAGTGGGGTGAGACGGCAATTGAGTTGGACGGTGGTTGGAGACGTCGACGAAGCGTTTGTAGCAGGTAAGTGCTGTACGGCCTTGGGTGTCACAGATTTGGCATCGAACCCCGACACGACCTCATTGTCCACGACCTCTTTGGCCCCTATAACCACGTCCACGATCGCGGTTGGCATCACCTTACGAGCGAGGCTGCTGCTGCAGGTGTTGAATGAGCAAAGCAGACGGAGCAGATGGAAGTGATGCGGCCGCCTCTTCTGGAAAAAAGATACTGATGAGTGACCAACAAATATGCAACTTCTGGAATGGTGAGGGGTGCGCTCTTCGTGGTCAGTGATGCAACAAGTCCACGATACTCCAGACGAACGCCACGAAAGACGTGCAAGTTTTGCTCGTCCAAACCAATCGGCCGACCGGCTTGAGCCAACTGTTCGACGAGAACTTGGGTTTTGCCAAGATAACCCGCCGTTGATGAGTCACCTTGGCGAAGATTCTGAAGTTGGCTGAGGAGGCTTAGCGAACGTGCGCGAGAAGTTGAACCAAGTGTTGTTTCCGCTGCTATCCAAACAACTCGAGACGTGGAGTGACCAATCGCCAAATACAACACTTCCTCTGCCAATGATGAAATAATCATGCTTAAAATAAACTGATCTTGTTGAACCCATTGAGCATAAAGAGGGTTCATAGTCGCAGGAGAAGCTGAGGAAGACGAGACAAACTCAGGTGGACAAGCGTGGGTGCCATTAACAAAACCATAAAGGTTTTGTCCACGAAGAAATGGAACTAGCTGCGCCCTCCAGAACAGGTAGTTCGTGGCTGTCAGCTTGATGGACAAGTAATGATGCGTTTGCTGCAGCATATTTGGGGAACGAGACTCAGGTACGGTGACTGCCGTGACGGCACGGCTGGTGTAATCCTGAGTGGCGTCAGCGGCGGGAGCCGGAGGAGCATTACGTTCATCGGCCATGGGATCGAAAAGTTAGGTTGATACCAGATGAGTTTATAAAATGTGTATTGAATGAATGAACCAGTAGAGAGTTACAGAGGTTTAAATATACATGGAAGTAACACAAACTTAGGAAACAACTTATGACTATAACTGATTCTTCATAGACTTCTAACTACTCCATCTCTGCCGACGGGGATACTACCAAGATCTCGCCATCGGTTCAGCAGACCCTCAATAACACCGGCATCGCCCTCAACCATGTCCCCACAGGTATGTATCTCTGTGTTTGTAGTGGTTCTGGAAGGTTTTGAAGCGGAGAAAACGGCATCGCAAAGAGCGCACCTGGGCAATGGTGTACGAGTTGGTGCCGGTGGTCCAAAGTAAGGCTACAGCTAAGCAACTGAGGCTGTTTGGCGTGAACATCATCGGCGTTGAGCCTCAGGGTGTTCATGCGGGCCGGGGCGACCCTGATCGCGATGATGGTGTTCTCTGTTGAAAAAAAAAAAAAGAATTCGCCGGAGAAGAGGGAATATATGAGAAATGACTAAAATACCCTTATTATTTTAACTGTTAAAATTTTCCGGCGAAATTTGACTGACAATTTGACCTGAGTGACCAAAATTGATAAAAATTACATAGTCAAGGTACTAAATTGACACTTTTGAAAGTCAGATGCTGAAATTAACAAAGCCCCTATAGTCATATGACCAAAATTGATTTTTTTTTTCACTAAATAAAATTTGAATTTTTCTATCACTTTTACTCTTTTAGAGGAATTTTTAAGTCAAACATGTGCATATGCTAGTTTTAGGTGATGTTTGCTCGAAAAACTTATCATAATAAACTCGCTAAAAGAATTAAAACTGATTACAAAAATTCAAAGTCAATAGTAATAATTAAAAATATACCAAAAAAAAAAATCAAAGCACCAAAAATGCATTTCATAGTGCAATTTTCACTAGTTAGCTATCACTTATGTTGCACGAAAATATGTGAACGTAATGTTTCTCTGTTTTAAAAATATTTCATCCCCGCAACTTATTTCAAAACTATTTTGTGCAATTTTTAATTTTTTTTTTAAGTGGATCATTTCCTAATTAATAAAAAATGGTGAATTGGATGTTGGTGATGGGGTGAGAACCCCGGCCCAAGAAAAGAGGCCCAGAAAGAAAAGACCAAAGAAGAAAGGGTGGGCTGACGAAAGGCAGGCTCGAAGGATGCCTGGGCCGAGTCCAGGACTCGGCCCAGGCCCAAAGAAGAAGGCCCAGTCTTGAGCTACAAAGGACAGCCCAATCCGAGTGCCACCCAAAGACGAGGAGTCGGTCTAGGCCCGGCCCAGGGGAAGACTCGGTTCAGAGAGCCATTGAAGCAGTCAAGGCAAGGAGCCGTTGAAGCATTAAAAGCTGGACGCGGTCCACCAGTTACTAGCTAGAGAGAGCCGTTGGCCGGGTCTGTAACGTTGCCCAACGGCTCGGCATATTGATTATAGCCTTTAAGTCGGCCATCATGGGCCTTTAAGACAGTCAAGGAGGAGCCACTATAAAAAGGCTCCTCCACCCCTTGTAAAAGACAGATTCGAGAACCCGGAGAGGGAATAGAGAGCATTATTGAGCAACCTATTTTCACTAAAATCAAGGCTTTTTGTGAAAGGTGTCTCCTCCAGCTTAAGGTTGTGTTGGACCTCCTTGGGCCCGAAAACCCAAAAACCATCACTGGCGCCGCCTGTGGGGATCCAAACAAAGAGTTGCGTGCCTTCTGAGCAAAGCGAGTCGGAGAAATCATCAAGAAGAGTCCTGGTCGTAAGTAATTGAAAGATTTTACCATGACAGGAAGCCAAGACCAATTGAGCCAACGCAATGGGCTAGGAGCCGACCTAAGAGATCAGTTGAATCGGAGAAGCACCCGAAGCCGGGAAGACGATGCAACACCGCCACCGACACCTCAGATAAATCCACAGCCGACTGCGGTACCGCTCACCCCGGATCAGCTACACGCAATTGGACGTGCCTTCGCCGAAGCAAGTCGGGGAATACGGGAGCAATCCGCTACTCGGGTACCGCAACAAGACCCCCCACCGCCGCGATGGCCGAACAATCAACAATCAACCCGCCGGGCGGTGAGTCAACCTGTCCAGTCCGTTCATTCCCGGCTAGGCCCTGGTGTCGAGCGACGGTCAGCAAGAGAACGACTAGGGCGAAGGGAACCCCTCCGCGCTCCGGTAGAAACTCACGGCCGGCAGAGAGCACGTGAGCGTAACCGTGCGGGGAAAGGCCGGACGGCGGCTCGCCGCGTGGAGCAGTCCGCCCGAGACCATGACCAACCCGCCGAGTCAGAGGTTGGCGAAAGCGCGGAGTCGACAGGAAACCACACCCATGAGAGGGTCGAAATGGCAAACCTCGCCCAAGAGGTAAGAAATCTGAAAGAGCAGGTAGAAGGGAGAACCAAGGCCCCCGGTCGAGCGCTGCTGACCTTGTTACCTTTCTCCGCCGAGATCATGGCCTTCAAAATACCGGGCGACTTCAAGTTCCCGGAACAAGCCACGTTCGACGGATCAGGCGACCCGCGGGAACATCTATTGAGCTACCAGGCCAAAATGCAGGTCTGGGGAGTACGGGACCCGGTCATGTGCCGCGCCTTCCTGCCCACGTTAAAAGGGGCCGCGCAAAGGTGGCTTGTAGGACAACCCCCGGGGTCGATTCACAGCTTCGAAGAGCTGGCGGACCGCTTCATGAGCCACTACGCCGCTAACATCAAACAACAGAAAGACTTGACTCATTTGGGCGACATCCATCAGGATGAGGGCGAATCCTTAAAAGCCTATCTGGCTCGCTGGCAAAAGGAGATCCAGTCGATAGAAGAAGTGGAGGATCAAACAGCACTCACCTTCTTCATCGAATCTTTGCGGTCCGGACAACTATACCGGGACCTGAGGGACAACCGTCCGGCGACATACGCAGACGCAATCCAGATGGCCAACAAGAGAGCCAACACAGAACAGGCTATAAAGCACAAACGACAACGTGAGGTCGGCGGATCTGCCAGTGGAAAAAGGACGCGGGCCGAGACCAGAGAGAGACGTTCAGACGTAGCTCGGCGGCCTGAGGCCAGGCGACCGTACGACCGCCCCATCGTCCACACTTATCGCCCGGCTCCAGAGCGGCCGGTCCATGAGGTACAAGTGGTCGCCCCGCCTCCACCTCCGCCGATTGACGATCGTGCAGCGAGCGAGGATACTGGTAAGACTTCTAAATATTGTCGATATCATAAATCTTACACTCACAGCACGGAAGAATGCTTCTACTTAAAGAAGATCATGGAGGGGATTATCCAGCAAGGAACTCCGCCTCCTAACCAATGGAAGCGAAGGTCGACCAGTCGAGGAGACGAGGGGCCTTCCGCCGACGCAGAAAATAGCCGGGGCAAGCAGCCGGTCTCCGAGGAGGACGAAGCCCAATGGCGCCAGAAGCCAGTCATTAACATGATAGTCGGCGGGCCAGAAGGCGGCGATTCCGCAAATACCCGGAAAGCCTGGGCTCGGCAACTATATGTCGGAACGGTCTACGGCCGGGAGGAGAGCTCCAAAAAGATATGCCGGGAGCCCATCGTGTTCACCGATAAAGACTTGCCAGCCGGGGAAACCCCGCATCGAGACGCGTTGGTCATCGCCATGGATATCAACGGTGTAGTTGTTCGCCGGATTCTGGTTGACACCGGGAGTAGTGTCAACGTACTGTACCTGGATACCTTTACTAAGATGGGGCTGACCCGAGAACAGCTCAGACCCGTGAACACCCCTCTCGCCGGCTTCACTGGAGACTCAGTGGAAGCGGAAGGGTCCATCACTCTTCCTGTGGAGATCGGCAGTTATCCGGATGTACAGAAGTTGAGCATGAAGTTCATCGTGGTCGATCTAGCCTGCTCGCACAATGCCATACTCGGCCGCCCGGGTCTGGAAGACCTTGGAGCCTTAATCTCAATTGAACACCTGTGCTTGAAGTTTCGCACGCCGAACGGAATAGGAACAGTGCGTTGTGACCGCAAGGTCGCCCGCGACTGCTACCTACAAGCGTGTAGAGGAATGGGCAAACGTGGGATGCAGGTCCATGAGATCACTGAGAGGCCCCCTAAGAGAACCGTGATACCTCGCCCAGAGCCGGCCGTCGAGCTAGAGGAGGTCGAGATTGACCCAGCACAGCCAAGCAGGCGAGTAAGAATTGGAGTCGGCCTTCCGGAGAAGTTAAAAGGGGAAATCATGAAAGTGCTCCAGGAGCACCGACTGGTTTTCGCCTGAGGCCCCGAAGATATGCCCGGCGTGGATCGATCAATCATATCACACCGACTCGCCGTAGACCCAGAGCATCGGCCGGTCATACAGAAGAAACGGTATTTGGCGAATGACCGGAGGGAGTCCGTGAAGAAAGAGGTAAGCACATTGTTAGCAGCCGGGCACGTCCGTGAGGTTAAGTACCCGGAATGGTTGGCCAACGTGGTCCTTGTACCCAAGCCCCCGGCGTGGCGAATGTGTGTAGACTACACTGATCTTAACAAAGCCTGCCCAAAAGACCCGTTTCCTCTGCCCCGAATCGACCAGCTAGTCGACGAAACGGCCGGGTCAGCGCTTCTCAGTTTTATGGATGCCTTCCGAGGATACCACCAAATATTCATGCACCCGGCGGATGAAGAAAAGACCGCTTTCCTGACTCCGGACGGAGTTTACTGCTACCGAGTCATGCCATTCGGACTCAAAAACGCTGGAGCTACATACACTCGAATGGTTGCCCGACTGTTCCATCACCTGCTGGGAAAATCGATGGCTGCGTATGTTGACGACATGCTCGTCAAAAGTCGAGAGGAGGACAAGCACGCGGAAGATCTAGCCGACTGCTTTAAGGTAATGATAAAGTACAACCTCCGGCTGAACCCCAAGAAGTGCGCATTCGCCGTCCAGGGTGGTAAGTTCTTGGGTTACATGGTCACCAAGCGAGGCATCGAGCCTAATCCGGAGAAAGTACAGGCTATCCTTGACATGCAACCTCCTACTACCGTCAAGGACTTGCAACGCTTGACAGGACGATTGGCGGCTCTTAGCCGTTTCCTTAGCAAATCAGCGGATAAAACCGTGCCCTTCTTCGAAGCCATGAAGAAGAAGGAGGGATTCGCCTGGACTACCGAATGCCAGCAGTCGTTCGAAGAATTAAAACAATATCTGTCGACTCCCCCAGTACTATCTACCCCCAGGAGGGCGAGCCCTTACTCTTGTACCTTGCCGCCTCAGCCAAGGCAGTAAGTTCTGTGTTGGTCCGAGAAGAAGACCGAGTCCAGCACCCGGTTTACTATGTAAGCCGCTCGCTGAAAGCTGCCGAGACGCGGTACACCACCATGGAGAAGATCGTGTATGCCTTGGTAGTCACCGTGCGTAAGTTAGCACCTTACTTCCAAGCTCATACCGTCCGAGTCCTGACGGATCAACCACTCGGGAGTGTGCTGCGGAACCCCCTGTCCTCCGGCCGATTGGTAAAATGGGCCGTCGAGTTGACTCAGTACGGGATCGAGTACCAACTCAGGCCCTCCATCAAAGGCCAAGCTTTGGCCGACATTCTGGTCGAGTGTACCGCGGGTGAGGAAGAGAAGGAGCGCGCCTCGGAAAGCCATCTGGGCGAGTGGTGGGAGATGCACGCGGATGGAGCATCAAGTCGACAGCACTGCGGAGGCGGTGTCATGCTTATCTCTCCGGAGGGATTTCGGCTGTATTATGCCCTGAGGTACCTGTTCTCTACATCAAATAACGAGGCCGAATACGAAGCAGTATTGAACGGCCTCCGTCTCGCCAAAGATCTAGGAGTCGAACGGCTGCGAATCAAAACCGACTCCCGACTGGTGGTCGGACAGATTTCGGGGACGTGCGAAGCTAAGAACGCGAGAATGGCGTTATACAAAGAATGTGCCACCAAGATGTTGAAAGGGCTTGAAGCCTATGAGATAGAATACATATCCCGGGCGGACAATGTAGAGGCTGATATCTTGTCCAAAATCGCCCTGGAAGGGGTGCCGGATCACTTAATAAGGATCTGCCAAAAGGAGGAACTAAGTCGGCCGAGCATCGAAGAGGCACCGTTGGCGGTCCAACAAGTGAACGTCGAGGAGTGGGACCGAGAGAAAAACCCTGAGATGTTTTGGATAGAAGATATCCGGCGGTTTAAGGAAACGGGCGAGTTGCCAACCGACCCAGCAGTCGCCGCAAGGGTTCGACGAAAAGCACCCTCCTTCCGAATCATCGACGGACATCTGTACAAACAGTTGTTTGGAGGGCCCTTGTTGAAATGCCTACTTAGGCCTGAGGCCGAGAAGGTGATGGATGAAGCCCATAGAGGCATCTGTGCCGCGCACCAGGGTGCCCACACGCTCGCCCGAAAGTTGGTCGTGCAAAGGTATTATTGGCCGACCATGATGCGAGACTGTATTGAACGAATGTCTAAATGCGGCGTTTGCCAGGCATTCGCCAGGAAAGACACTCGGCCGGCCACCTTCTATACACCGGTCACCACTGCTATTCCTTTCGCCAAGTGGGGAATAGACTTATTGGGGCCCCTACCCGTCGCCCCGGGAGGATTGAAGTTTTGCGTCGTAGCCATCGACTACTTCACCAAATGGGTTGAGGCGGAACCTCTGGCTAACATCACCGAGTACCAGTGTCGCCGCTTTCTGTGGAAAAGGGTGATCTGTCGCTTCGGCCTGCCCGAACACATCGTCAGCGATAACGGGCGACAGTTTGACTGTCAGGCATTCGCCGATTTCTGTAGCCGACACGGTATCAAGCATACCAAGGTGTCGGTAGCCTACCCCCAAGCCAATGGGTAGGTCGAAAATGTGAATCGAACATTGGTCGACGGAATCCGGAAAAAGCTCGAGGACATCCGAGGAAACTGGGCGGACGAGCTTGATCGAGTCCTATGGGCCTATCGCACTACCCAGCGGCGTGCAACGGGAGAGAGTCCGTTCTCGCTCGCTTACGGCTTTGAGGCCAAGGTTCCAGTCGAAGTGGTCGAGCCCACCTACCGGGTTCGCACCTATTCGGACGCGGCAAATGAAGAGAGCCTGCAGATTGAGAAAAATTTTCTAGAAGAAAGAAGGGAAGCCGCGAGTGCCCGAATGGTTGAGTACCAACAGGCGGTGAAAAGATACCGCGATCGCCGAACTCGCCCGAGAACCTTCCAGGTTGGCGACCTAGTGCTACGAGATCGACAAGCCAGCCAGCCTACCGAAGGAGGCAAGCTCGCGGTCAAGTGGGAAGGGCCGTACCGCATCGCGGCTGTAGTCCAGGTCGGAACCTACAAATTAGACACTATGGAAAGCAGGCTCATAGATCGTATATGGAATGCTACTCACTTGAAAAGGTTCTATCAGTAGCCAATGATAGGTCATGTATGGGCCCGAGGATTCTAATCTAAATAAAGTGCATGGGTTACAACCAATCGTCCCAGGGACTCGGCGAGAGAAAGTTAGGAAACAAGGGCCCAGACCCTTAGTCGTTTCCGTGAAAAAGCCAAAAGGAGTCGCCTCGAATGAGAGACTCGGCACGTATATATAGAAACGCCGGGGCACTGACCCTGAACCGTTTCTGAGAATAGAAAAAGCCTAAAGGGTCGCCTCGACTGAGGGACTCGGCGAGAAAAAGTTAGGAAACAAGGGCCCAGACCCTTAGTCGTTTCCCTGAAAAAGCCAAAAGGAGTCGCCTCGAATGAGAGACTCGGCCAGTATATATAGAAACGCCGGGGCACTGACCCTGAACCGTTTCTGAGAACAGAAAAAGCCTAAAGGGTCGCCTCGTCTGAGGGACTCGGCGAGAGAAAGTTAGGAAACAAGGGCCCAGACCCTTAGTCGTTTCCGTGAAAAAGCCAAAAGGAGTCGCCTCGAATGAGAGACTCGGCCAGTATATATAGAAACGCCGGGGCACTGACCCTAAACCGTTTCTTAGAACAGAAAAAGCCTAAAGGGTCGCCTCGACTGAGGGACTCGGCGAGAGAAAGTTAGGAAACAAGGGCCCAGACCCTTAGTCGTTTCCGTGAAAAAGCCAAAAGGAGTCGCCTCGAATGAGAGACTCGGCCAGTATATATAGAAACACCGGGGCACTGACCCTGAACCGTTTCTGAGAACAAAAAAAGCCTAAAGGGTCGCCTCGACTGAGGGACTCGGCGAGAGAAAGTTAGGAAACAAGGGCCCAGACCCTTAGTCGTTTCCGTGAAAAAGCCAAAAGGAGTCGCCTCGAAGGAGAGACTCGGCCAGTATATATAGAAACGCCGGGGCACTGACCCTGAACCATTTCTGAGAACAGAAAAAGCCTAAAGGGTCGCCTCGACTAAGGGACTCGGCGAGAAAAAGTTAGGAAACAAGGGCCCAGACCCTTAGTCGTTTCCGTGAAAAAGCCAAAAGGAGTCGCCTCGAATGAGAGACTCGGCCAGTATATATAGAAACGCCGGGGCACTGACCCTGAACCGTTTCTGAGAACAGAAAAAGCCTAAAGGGTCGCCTCGTCTGAGGGACTCGGCGAGAGAAAGTTAGGAAACAAGGGCCCAGACCCTTAGTCGTTTCCGTGAAAAAGCTAAAAGGAGTCGCCTCGAATGAGAGACTCGGCCAGTATATATAGAAACGCCGGGGCACTGACCCTGAACCGTTTCTGAGAACAGAAAAAGCCTAAAGGGTCGCCTCGACTGAGGGACTCGGCGAGAGAAAGTTAGGAAACAAGGGCCCAGACCCTTAGTCGTTTCCGTGAAAAAGCCAAAAGGAGTCGCCTCGAATGAGAGACTCGGCCAGTATACATAGAAACGCCGGGGCACTGACCCTGAACCGTTTCTGAGAACAGAAAAAGCCTAAAGGATCGCCTCGACTGAGGGACTCGGCGAGAGAAAGTTAGGAAACAAGGGCCCAGACCCTTAGTCGTTTCCGTGAAAAAAGCCAAAAGGAGTCGCCTCGAATGAGAGACTCGGCCAGTATATATAGAAACGTCGGGGCACTGACCCTGAACCGTTTCTGAGAACAGAAAAAGCCTAAAGGGTCGCCTCGACTGAGGGACTCGGCGAGAGAAAGCTAGGAAACAAGGGTCCAAGCCCTTAGAAGGAGTCGCCTCGCCTGAGGGACTCGACGAGGGAAAGCCAGGGGACAAGGGTCCAAACCATTAGTCATTCCTGAGAAGGTAACCGCGTAAAGGGTCGCCTCGACTTAGGGACTCGGCGAGAAAGAATGAGGGCTAGCTGGGTTCGAAGCCTTAGAAGAAAGCAAAATATTAAAAGAAGAGCTCCAAGACAAAATGGCAAGAGAAAAGGACGGAAAACGCTTTCATTAAAATAAGGCCGACAAGGAGGCCAGCCTTTACAAAAGATAGGATCTATTCTAAAAGATCCTAGGCTACTGGGGAGGGGGTGTCAACAGCGACCCCTTCAACTTGCGCCCCTGCCGATTGGCCAGCTGGGGGAACAGAAGAAGGGTCCTCCGCCTGAGGAGAGGACTCGGTAAGTACTGGTGGCGTCGCTGCAGGAAGAGTTGTCGAGTCGGTAGGTGCAGCCGGCCCTTCAGCGTCCAGCACAGGCTTGAGACCCCAGCTCTCGGGGGTGAACGAGGAGTCGCGGGCCAGCAGAGTGGCATAGATCTCTGTCTGTGCCTCGCGGAAGCCCAAACGGTAGTCCCGCTCGCCCAAGTCCAGAAAGAAGTCGTCGCCCTCTGGAGTCGCCAGCCATTCCCTGGCCACCTCCTTCCTCCGGGCTTCCACCGCCGCCTGCACGTCTGCCTCGAAGGCGGCCGACTTCTTGTAGTCTTCGACGGAGGTCACGGCGATCGTGGCCGCCTTATCCCTCTCCTCCTCCCACTGACGGGTCACCCTCAGTCGCTCGGCGTTGTGCACCTCCACCATCTTAAGCTGCTTCGCCTGCTCTTCCCGGAAAGCCTCCTCCGTCTGGTGCAGCTTGGCAGCCATGGCCCGCATGTCATTCCTAAAGCCCAGGAACCAATTGCCCAGTTCCATTTGGAGCGTAAGGTCCTGCATACCAAACTGTCAGTCGGAGGATAAGAGAGTAAGTAGAAGAAAAGGCCGAATAAACAACACTTACGCGATACGACTGCCGGAGCAAGGCCTCGATGATGAACCCGTCGGCAAGGCCCTTAGTCGACTCCACATCCTTTGGCAGAAGGACATCCTTGCACCACTCGCGAATGGAGGAGTTGCCCATCAAGATTTGAGCGCCCTCGTCCACCTCGTGGCATAGTCGAATCCTCTTCGGAGTCGGCCCCTCCGTATCCTCAGCCGGCCTCTTAGAGCTCGGACTTTCGAAAGAAGGAGGAGGCGGCTGCCGACTGTGCGACACCACAGGCGAGGGCGTGAGGTCGACCACATTATGAGGATGTGGAGGAGTCGGCCGAGGCGATGGCAAGGGCTGAGACGAAGACGCGGCGGCAGCGCCGGTAGAACGTTGCGTCAGGCGACGCCTCATTTTTTCCGCTCTGTCAGTCATCTCCGGAGTCGGTACAACGGCCTCGTCTGAACTAGAGGAGTCAGAGTCGTATGGACCTGTAAGAGAAACCCATGCACTTGTGAGTATTTCCGCATAAAATAAGAAGCGAGTCGAGAAGGAGATGAAAAAGACGCTACCTATGGTGGCGGCGCCCTCCGGCAGAAGGCCATGCTTGGCCATGGCCCGGACCCGGGACCAGTACTTAACCGAGTACGGCCCCAGGCTCTTCAAGAAGTCGCCGCCTTGGACAGCATCTTCCGTAAAAACGGCCCGCCGAGAGCAGGGCTTGAAGAGAGTCGCCGGCCACAAGGTCGGGAAGGTGAAGGAAGAAGAGAGAGGTCGGACGAAGAAATACAGGGGCTTCCACTCTTTAATTGAGTCGGACAATCCCTCAAAAAGCTGCCGCTTCGGGCGAGCAGCAACCTGGATAAAGCCAGGCGAGTGGGAGCCAACCTTGTTCACGGTGAAGAGATACCGGAACAGGTCCAAATCTGGCTCGCACTGCCACCAATGGCAGAGATTGATGAAGCTGGTAAGGAGTCGGTGAGAATTGGGCACTAACTGGCCAGGGACCAAGTTATAGTGCCGGAAGAGGAGCGAAAGAAATGGGTGTGGGGGCACTCGGAAGCCGAATGCAACCGAGTGCAAATGAATACCCACAAAACCCTCCGGCGGGTCGTAAATAGGCCGGCCCTCCGCCGCGACGACCAAGGCCGAAGGGCCAAGAAGAAAGCGAGCCATATCCAGATCCGCCGCTGTGGCGGTTGACGGAAGACTGGCCGGCCAGACAACCGAGTCGAACTTGCCTCGCGGCCGTTCAACGCCGTCCGGCAAAGCCGCCACCGTGGATAACGGGGCTGGGCTCATCGGAGTGGCCGCCCCGGAAGAAGAGGGAGTTAAGAATGAAGAAGAAGAGACCGCCTGGAAGCCCGCCGGCATTTCCAGACGGCGAACAACGGCGGAAGAAGAAGAAGAAGAAGACGATGGCGAGGTCCCCGCCGGGTTGTCAAAGGACAAACGGCGGGAAGAAGAAGAATGAGAAGAAGAAGGCATCACTTACAGGCTTTCGATTGAGTTTGGGAAGACGAGGAAGACGCAGAGAAGCTTGGAGAACTGAAGAAGAAGAATGAAGGGAAAGGTTTTTAAAGAGGAGGAGGGAGCCCAAGCGGCTGCCACGCGGCGCCTTCCTAATGGAGGAATTGGAGGCGACGGGACATCGAAGTGACGCCGCAATTAATGCCTCGATAGGCGGGGCGACGGTTCAGACCTAGGGCTAGCCTGCAAGCGGCGCGTCTACCCTAGGCCGAGGCTTAAGTGACGGCAACCCAGCCTGCCCGGTCAAAGGCCCATCAAAGC